GGGGAACGTCGCAGCGGTGCCTGCGAGCTGGGGCCTGTGAGAACGAGCGGTGAGAGAAGCGCTCCCCTGTGCCTTGCACAGTTATACTGACGTGCTGGGCTCTTGTTTCAGCTTTGCGGTCTCACGGGTGAGCAAGCAGACACCGTGGCCAAGACTGAATAACCACAGGGAGGAAAAAGCCGGTAAGAAGGTTTAGTCCACACTGCATGTGCTCAAAAAGAAAGTTCAACCAAAGGACACACCAGAGTGACCCTTGAAGACTCCTAAAGACCCTCAAAGGCTCAAAGAGTATGCTTAATTAGGATGCAAATATTAAAATTAATTCCCAGAAATAAAATAAATATGTATAGTCATTCTGGGAAGTCTAAGGCACACGTGCACTGCTGAACAATGTCAGCTTTGCTTGTTGTGACTTAGGACATGCACGTTAGGAGGAACAAGCCTCCGTGCATCCAGAGCTGTAATAAATGATGCCTGTCCTCTGAAACTTGAAGGCAAGTGTTAGAGGGTTCTTTCCATGACTGAATTTTACAATATCAGTAGCTGGAAAAGACCCTTAAGGTCACCAAGTCCAACCATTAACCCAGCCCTGCCAAGGCCACCACTTAGCCATGTACCTCAGCACCACAGCTACACAGCTTTTAAATCCCTCCTGGACAGCCTGTACCAGGGCCTGACAACCTTTTTCCATGAAGAAATTGTTCCCGATAGCCAATCTAAAACTCTCCTGGCACAACTTGAGGCCCTTTCCTCTTGTTCTGGTGCTTGGTCCCTGGGAGAAGAGACCGACTCCCCTGGCTCCAACCTCCTTTCAGGCAGTTGTAGAGAGCAATAAGGTCTCCCCTCAGCCTCCTTTTCTCCAGGCTGAACACCTCCAGTTCCCTCAGCTGCTCCTCATCAGACTTTTGCTCCAGTTCCTTCCCCAGCTCCATTAACCTTCTCTGGACAAGCTCCAGCTCCTCAACGTCCCTCTTGTTGTGAGGACTCCAGACTGACCCCAGGATTTGAGCTATGGCCTCACCAGTGCTGACCACAGGGGGATGATTCCTGCTCTGGTCCTGCTGGCCACACTGGTGCTGACACAGGCCAGGATGTCATTTGCCTTTGTTGGATCCACACCTGTTTTCTTCCCTGGCTCTTTTCCCTATACTTGCTCGCTGGAAGCACAAAACACTTAAAAACTGCAAAGCTCAACACCCCTGAGAAACATCTGTTGACTAGGATAGACACGAAGGCTGGGTGAAGATCTAGTGGTCTGTGTTCTCATGGTATGGAGGAAGAACATGGAATGCAGTGAAGGCTGCTTATCCCATTCTCACACTTATCACAGCAGTTATCTACTGCTTGCAGAAGGCAACAAGGAAGTCATAAATGTTTCGTGCCACTGCTAAAAGCTGAGCACAAGGAGCAGTGCTTTGACTACAGTTCCAC